AAAAAAAACATGTTTATCATTCACTATAACGAACTCAGCTAAAACACTAAGTCCCAAATTTGATCTGCGTGTAGTGATCGTGTTTATTTTCTGTTACTTACCGGGCTGGCCCTTCCTCTGCTGCATCAGCCCCCACATGTTTTCGTCTCAAATGTTCACTTAGGGACGTCGTGCTTCCATGCCATGCTAGATGGTTTTTGCATATTTTGCAGGTCACCCATCTTTTCATGACATCTAGAGTGACGTGCTCCCATACTCGTGAGGTTTTTGTCTGGGGTTTCTCTTCAGTTTTGTCGCTTCTATTTTTCTTCCGTATTTCTTCTTGTTCCGCCATCTCTCACAGCAAGATGAGTGTCAGTAACGTGATACGTCATGAAAACCGAGGGTACTTATTGGCTCGTTTCTTCTTCTACGGCTCCACTGGTAGATCAGTGGCTCATTACTGCCACACACTGGCGGCAAATTTAACAGATTGTAACCGATGTCAGATTGTGGTAAAAATAAACTTTATGCGGTAAAATGTGATTATTAAACAACTAATCGATGACTAAAAAAGTTGTTAACTATTTTAATAATCGATTATAATCGATTAGATCGATTAGTTGTTTCAGCTCTAAAACTGAGATTTAAATATGTTGGTTTTATGCTCTTTTTCTGCTCCAAAACATGAAAGTTAACAGGTGAGATATTGCATTTTCATTTAAGATAAAATGATATTTTTATTTTGTTGTTGGCCCGTGAGAAAAGATTTAACCTACAGTAAACAGGAAGTGGAAAGGCTGCAGATAGATGAATAGAATAGAAAATCCCTTTATTGTTCCTCAGTGGGGAAAGCTAGATGCCACAGCAGCGATGACACTTATTACAGGAGAAAAAGGGAGAATAAAACATAAGAAAAATGAATAAACAAGAAAGCATAAATCCTGAATATATTTTAAAAATGCTGATTATACCACAAGTAATGAATACCACTGATGCCTTTTATTTAAAACTGACTTGCTCGTGTGTAATTTGTTTATTCCACATTCAGTGTTAATGCAGAAATATGTTTGTTTCCTAATTTAAAGGTTCAAAATTGCATATATGTTGATAAAGAAAATGTGCAAATTTGCCGTAATTTTTTCAAAAAATCTTAAGTTTGGCCCTCGACTCCATCCCAGACTTTCATTTTGGCCCCGTGTGAGTTTGAGTTTGACACCCCTGGCTTAGAGGGAGGGAGTGAGATGCCTGTGATCCAGTTCTGGAGCTCATGCCGGCTTCTGTGAGCTGGATCCGACCCAGACACCAGCGAGCCAGTTGAGTTGGTATATTTAAAAGCCGTGCATCCTCTCCTGGTGGTCCAGGCGGCGGTTCTGGTCCGGTTCCCACCTGGAAACCAGCTCTACTGGCCCACTGAGCCGCACGTCTCTTCTGGTGGTTGGTTCTGACCTAGTTCTGACAGTGATCTGAGCTCCAGAAATCCGCATTTAATTTTTTTAACCCCGCCACGGGTCTCCAGAGCCCAGCATGGACCTCCCTGTCCCAGTACCGACCGATGCGGGTTCCGTCTTGTCAGCTGCACAAAACGTCCTTGGGCGTAGAGATAGAGGCGTTGTTTCTCTTATCTGGAAACCCGGGGACTCGATGTCCAGACAGGCTGGAGTTGGTACAGCCTTCACACACTAGTTTATCAACATGAACACAATCCAACACTAGTAAACACACACTCTGACTGGATAACATGACCTCGACCCCAAAACTAGCCACTCTCCACACTGAGCTGAGGCAGTGCCTAGCTTCTAACTCCCTTTGGTTACGTCAGAGGTTCAGATTTAGAAAAAAAGAGCCTATTTAGAAACTTTGCTGAGAAAGGTCACTTTTTACTAGAAATCTCTGCTGTTATATATTTTAAAACTAAATATCCACAATCTGCATTCCAAATGGTATTTTTTGGACAGCAATTTATATGAATTAGAAAAAAGATTTAACCTGCAATTTGCTTTTTAAATACCCTTATTCCTTTTTTAAATTCATTTAACTGACAGTGAAGTTGTTAATCCAACTTCTTTGTTTCCCTAAGAAGGAAATCATACAAATAATCTTTTCTTCTTTCTGGTTCAGTGTAGGATAAAAACAGTCAGCATATAGTTTTCAATCAATGAAAACACAGGAAATTAGTACAAAATAAAACAAAGCCAAGTGTTTAGGATAGGGTGAGATATAAAAGGTAAACTGATGGTCCTTTAAAAAACGTGAAAAAAGTGAAGATGCCGAAAGTTCCTTTACATCTGTCAGGTTTCAGGGCTGTCGCTGAACAATGTGGAGTTTCAGCTCCCTCTAAGGATTTTCAATTGGATTTTGGTCTAGGCCACTCCAGAACCTTGATAGGCTTCTTACGAAGCTCCTCACTGGTTATCTGGCTGTGTGATCATTGTCATGTTTTAAGACCCAGTGTCAAAGAGTTAATTTACATCTAATTAACAGACCGTGAGACGTAAGATTCCATAGTAAATATGAAATCAACCTTATTGGGTGATTTTAACCAGAAGATTGGGACTTTTTATTGCAGGGATTATGTAACACTTGTATTAAGAGTCACCTTTAAAACGTTTAAGAAGATTTATTTCCAAACAATTTAAACAATTTTAAACAAGACTAACTCTAAGTGATGAATGGATCTGGTTTGAATCAGACTTGAGATGGATGGTGTATGTGTGAGTGATGTTGTAATCAGAACTCTCGTATCCGGGGAAACAAGTCTGAATAATGTTGTGATGTTTTGATTTTAGCTATGATCAGAGTTTGATCGGAGTTTCATAAACACATGAGACGCCATATTGTCGCTCTACAAATACCCTTGACATGAGACCTCCGTACAGATCCAGACTGCCAGGTCCTCGGACCCCCCTTTGGCACTGGAGCTGGTGAAACGGCGTCAGCAGTACAACAGACTAGTCTTTGGGTTGTCTCCAGGTAAAAAGCGACAGTTAGTTCACAGCGTCAGATGAACTCCCCTTGGGTCAGTGAGTTCAGCTTTTATTCTGAAAGGAACCGTTGCTTGGTTGGTAAAATGCAACAGATTTTATCCAGCTTGTTGGTTCATTGCTTAAAAAGGAAGTCCGGATGGCCGGTTCGATACTTCGCTTAGCATGCGGTGAACTGCAGAGAACTCAGAGAACTGACCTTAAGATGGCGTGGGAACTGGTTTTATTAATCTGGATGTTTTGATTTCTGGTCGAATCAAAGTTGGCAGATTTATAAACACCACAGAGACTATGCCACACTTCAGAAAGGAAGTTTCTGATTGGATGAGTAAACAATGTGTCATGCGTTTACATTACGTGTAGTCATCATGTCTAGTGCAGCTAGATTAAGTCATATTACTTATTAAAGCATGTTATTCATAACATTGTTATTTCACAGATTGGTCAACATCTTATTATTGACTAACTCTTTGCTTGATTAGCTTTATTAAAATAGTTATTTGATTTATTAAAAGGAAAGAGTCCTTTATCTTCATTCTTCTCTTGAGCTGGAAAGAAATCAGTTTAGAAGCGAATGCATGACCTTGAGGCAGTTTCATGCAGCTTAGTGCTGTGTCAGAGGCATCTGTGGAGAGAGGGTAAATGACCTTCGGTGGAATGGCACCTCCATCACGTTACACCAGCTACGACTCATCTTCAATGCTCTGACTGAGGGAAGGAGTATGTTGCTCAAAATCTCACAATAAAAGGCCCCATTCATCCTCTCCCTAATACAGCGCAGTCGTCCTGTCCCCCAAAGCATTAAGCTTCCACCCCCATGCTTCACAGTAGGGATGGTGTTGTTGGGATGCAACTCATCCTTCTTTTTCCTCCATTTACGGTGAGAGGAGTTTAAACCAAAAAGTTCTTTTTTGGTCTCTTCTGACCACATGACTCTCTCCCATACCTCCTCTGGATCATCGAGGGGAGCCTTCCGTGAAATGCATGATTTTAAACAATGACAGTACAGAGTTCTACTGACCTACCTTTGAAACTGTGGTCCCAGCTCTCTACATGTCAATGACCAGCTCCCCCCATGTAGTTCTGGGCTGATTCCTCACCCTTCTTATCATCATTGATACCCCACCAGGTCAGATCTTGCACTGAGCCCACGTCCGAGGGAGACGGACAGTCGTCTCAAGCCTATTCCATTTTCTAACAATCGCTCCAACAGTTGATCTATTTGCACCAAGCTGATTGGCAATTGCCTCATAGCCCTTTCCAGCCTTGTGGAGGTTCACAGTGTTGTCTCTGGTGTCTTTTGACAGCTCTTTGGTCTTATAGTAGTTGGAGTCTGACTGTGAGGTGGACAGGTGCTAATAATTTAAATTATTGGAGTAGATGTGGACTTTTTAATAAGTTTTTGAGAGCCAGAATTCTTGCTGATTGCCAGGTGTTCAAATACTTCTGTGCTGCAGTGCAATACCAATACATTCTTAAAAACCATACAATGTGATTTTCTGAAATAGAAATTTTAATGCTGCCTCTCACAGTGGGAATGCACCTAAGTTGTTAATTTCAGACCCCTCCATGATTTCTAAGTGGGAGAACTTGCAAAGCTGTAGAATGTTAAAATACTTAGGTTTTCATTGGATTCACATACATACATACATTTTTTTTCTAATGGCCTGCCATGTGCCATTATATATTTTAAAGACATTTGCTTTTAGCTGTTTCTCACGTTGGTTAATTTACATCATGCCTTTTAGTTCATCAAAACACTTTTGCTTTAAAAATGTTTTAGTTTGTTTCCCTTGAAAAGCCGGTCTGTAAAGGATAATTGTGGATTATTTTCCTATTTTTCTTGGATTCTACAACTAATACCTTAGTTTTGATAGCCTGTCAGCAATTGCATTAAGGTGATGTAATAAAACTGAGCATTTTCATCATTTTCAACACTAATTAATTTCTACTGGCATGAATAACTTAGGAATTATTTCTGCATCAAAACACGTTCAGTTTAAGATGAAGCAGCAAACGTTGCTCTTTCCACTACAGGTTCAGAGGACCCGTCAGCTGGTACACAGTGGACCTCGACTTGCCGCCCAGCAAGAGATGGACGGCTGTGATCACTGAGAAAAAACAAGATGTAAGAATGATGCAGAGGACCAGTAGTTAGAGCTGGTAGGTCTGGAGTTACTCACGAGTTCCTTATGTTCCAGCTGATCAGCTTGATTCAAGCCGTCAGAAATCTGGCAAATGCTTTTGTGCCCAGCGGGAAGCTGATAGAGCTGGTTGATATTACACTGGTGAGTGACCTCCACCTCTGAATGAAAGCTGTATATCAAAGGTTTCATGGCTGTGCTCTCATTATTTACAGCCTTTGATGGCGAACACACTACCAAGTCCGTTTGGTGAGGAGATCAAAGGAATAGCTGAGGTTTCAGGGGTTCCTCTTGGTATGGAAACATTTATAATTAAAAATCAGCTGTTCACGCACCATACTAACCTCTGCTCATTTTTTTTTGTAATAATTTAGGTGAAGTGGTGTTGTTTAACATCTTCTATGAGATTTTCACCGTGTGCACCTCTGTTGTAGCAGAAGATAAGAACGGTGAGTCTGAAAGCTGAAGTTTATTCAAGAAACTGAATAATATCACAAATTCTTAAATCTTTTGGGGATTCAACAGGTAACCTCCTTCATGGCAGAAATCTAGATTTTGGGCTGTTTATGGGGTAAGAACGCAAACGTTTCCACACTCTTGTATATTTAAGCCGAGTCTTGGCTCTGGTGTGTGTTAGATCTGGTCCTTTTTGCAGCTGGGATGTGAAAGACAAGTCGTGGATCATCAGTGAGAAGCTAAAGCCTCTAGTGGTCAACCTAGACTTCAGAAAGAACAGCCAGACGGTTTTTAAGTCCACTAACTTTGCTGGCTACGTTGGCATGCTGACTGGTATCAAGCCTGTGAGTGATTTAATATCCTAACTGGAGACTCAGTCCGAATAAAACATGGAGTTATTTCTCTCAGAAGGATTTAAAAGCATCTGCTTGTTCTCTCTGCCAGCACACCTTCACCCTGACCATGAACGAGCGCTTCACCCTGGATGGAGGATACATCGGTGAGTTTGGAACAGTTTTCACAAACTGAATGTGAAATGCCACGATGTTAACGTGTTCACACACAGGAATCCTGGAGTGGATCATGGGACAGAGAGACGGGATGTGGATGAGCTTTCTCACTCGATCTGTCTTGGAGAATGCGAACAGGTACCCGTGTTTAACGTTTGTAATGCACATGTAGAGCTAACGTTACGGCATTAAATAGGATGTTAAAGCATCGAATTCTGACAGCAATTACAAGCATTTGAATGTACTAGATGTACTAAAATAGAGATTAATTGAAAACACAAGAATTAAACTTGATTTGAAAGTTGAAGCTGAATATTTCTTCATGAAGCTAAATGAGTTTTATATTGTTCCTCGATAGCTATGAGGAAGCCAAAAGGCAACTGGCCGAGACGAAGATGCTCGCTCCAGCTTACTTCATCCTCGGAGGAAACCAGAGGGGGCAGGGCTGCATCATCACCCGCTCCAGGCAGCACAGCATCGATGTGTTGGAGTGAGTACCGAAGGGTTTTGTTCACACTGAATTTAATTCAGAATAGTTTTATATTTTTGAGACTACCTGTAAGTTGTTCCTGCTAAACCACAACGAAAAAGAAAAGTAATGGAGAAGTGAGTCATGAGTCTCTGACTCGTTTTTCTTGTGAAACTTACATAACAAGCTGCTTGTGACGTCGATGGTTTCAGATCACCTGATTTAAGTTGGGAAACGTGTTTGAGTGTGGCTAGCGGTCACGCTCTAAGTTGTTTTTTTTTTACTAACTCCTTGCACTCAGGATTGATGTGAAACTGGGTCGTTGGTACGTCCTGGAGACAAACTACGACCACTGGAAGGATCCGTTTTTCCTGGATGACCGGAGGACTCCTGCCATGAAGTGTATGAACCAGACCACACAGGCAGTAAGTACCCATGGACTGAATTTCTCTCCAAAGGACATTTTAGCTTTGAAGTCTAACAAAAAAAAAATCTGGTTCTTTACCTTTGATCTGTTGCCTTTTTTCCCCAGAGAATCTCTGTGAATACGCTGTACGACGTGCTCTCGACTAAACCCGTGTTGAACAAGGTTAGCCTTTTCTTGTTTGCTTTTACTATTCTAATCAACTCTGGTTGGATCAGGTGAAACATTTAAATACTTTTAAACTGTCGTTTCAGCTGACCACATACACGGCTCTGATGCAAGTGTCAGAGGGCAAACTGGAGTCTTACATCCGGGACTGTCCAAGCCCATGCATGCCTTGGTGATCCTCTGATTCCTGATCAGTTTGGGGATCTTTGCACAAAATGTCAGGCTTTACAATGGTTTCCATATAGATTTACTGAGCAGAATTGCTGTTTTAACCTTCCCACTGTCTTTATGGGTGACCCCACGAGGAAAGTTGACCATTGAGCAGGATTGATAGTTTATGCCTTGAGGTCCATGTGGCAGGGGTGAGGCGGTGCTCACTCCTCACCCCTGCCACATGGACCCAATGGATTAACAATCAACCCTACTCAATGGTCAACTTTCCTCGCGGGGTCACAACTATTAAGAGAGTGGGAGGGTTAAGCACTAACGTCATCTGATTTAAGCTTTAAAGTAGCACTAAACCGTTTCCTGCTCCTCCGCCCTACTGGTTAAAAGTTAAATTACAACTGAAGCAGCCTGCTGTAGCTAGTGCTAATAATGGGCTAACACAAACATGAGCCAGCTGATACTAAATAAGCCACTAAGTTGAAAGATCCACACTATTGAACAAATAATATTATTATTTACAAGTCCAGAAGCAAGAAAGCCAGCTGGCTTTCACCATCAGCCCGTGATTTCTTTTAGCCTCCTTTAGCTCCTTCAAACAAGTGTAGGTCGCGTGGATGTTCACACTGGTTTTAGCTCTTTGCTTCACCTCCTAAGACGGGTGTGTCCAAAGTGTGGCCTGTGGTTCATTTGCGGCCCTCTGAGTGGTTTTGCATGGACCTCACTAGCGTTTTTAGAATTGTGGAATTTAGTCTCTGCCGGAGGCTGTTAAGATAAATTCATATATTTTAAGTTCAAATGTTTACTACTATATCGATTTTAGGCCTTTTTTGAGCAGAAAAAAAATGTTTTATTTCTACATTTTTGTGGCCCGTGAAAAGTTTGAACTTAATGATTTTGGCCCTCATCTTGAAAAGTTTAGACATCCCTGTTCCAAAAATGGCTGCTCCGTGATGCCAACAATAAAGAAAACTTTTTTTTCTTGTGGTTATTTTTTAGGGACGGTTAGCAAACTGAAAAAGTGAATTGCTAGCCTTTTATTAGTTACCAGCACAGAAAATAGCTAACAGCTGTAAAGCAGGTAAAGAGCGCCCCCTAGAACACCTACCTGCTCCACAAAACTAAGTGCAGGATCTGGCCAGCAGAGGGCTGTCAAATGAGACCAATGTTAAAGTTCTAGCTTAAAGTTAAAAAATCTATTTAGTAGGGCTGCACAATATTAGGAAAACCTGTGATATTCGATAACTGTGCTTAATATTGCGATATCGATATCACTCACGATAAATGAACAAATACTAAAGTATGCAGTGTTGATGTAGTCTGGCGTGTGACGTCTGCTCTGGTTTCAAAGCAAACAAAAACTAATGCATGAATTCCATTACAACATAACATTTTTATTGCAAAAACATGCAGCTGCACCTGCTACTGTATTAGCAGCTGCACCTGCTACTGTATTAGCAGCAAAACAACAAACTGCATGCATGCAGTTTCTCAGTGACTTTAAAACATCACCTCCACGATAAAACTTTTTCTGATGTTCCAAATACAGAAAAACATCCCTTACCAGGGTTTTTATAATAAATAAAAAAATCTGAAAATAAGGTTAAATGTTAAATAATAGTTAACATCACTTAAATGCAACAGCAAATTCTCTCATTGCTACTGAACATTTTCTCCACTTATGTGGTTATGATATAAGGCTGTTGCTGCTATTGGGAAGTGAACTGTGCTGGGCCAAACTAGGAGAATATTAAGATTTTCTGAGGGAAAGAGAAAAACAATTGTCTACCTTTCAGAAGAGGAACTGGCAAAAAAATACATGGAAATTATGTGAAAATGTTTGTTTTTAACCCCAAATTGAACAAGTTTGCCTAGAACTTAAAAAGCAGCTCGGTTGATGAAACTGCAACTATGATTCTGATAACAAGCTAACAAATTGAACTAGCTCCTCTAAGATAACCGGCTAGCAGAGCTTCTGACTGACAGTTTATGTGCAGCAGCAAATCAACTATCCTGATTAACAAGGTTATAAAAGCTCATGAATGAAAAATCACTTTGATGTGTGGGGGAACTTTTCCAGGCCCTCTTTAGCAGGGTGGGACTGGGAGAAGAGTGCTGTAGCCTTTTAGCTGGAAGCTAACCGGAGCCTGGGGCTAACGTCACCACCCGGTGGAACACTAGCGACATGAAGGTGGGTTGGTTGGTTCGCCGGCACGTGTCAAAGTCAGCCCGGTAAAAATGATTAACGACACCGAGCGGAGTCACGTTCATGTTTGAAAGCAGAGCTGATTCCAGAAACCTCAGCACAAAGTGCGTTCATTGCTCTGAGCCAGCATGACGAAAAAGGTAACGGTGCCGCTAACTTTCCATCCTAAGGGTCTACGTAGGGGGCGGGTGTATTACGTGAACGGACCCATCTGATTGGCCGCATATCAGAAGGGCTACATTTGATTGGTCAAATAATACTTCCGCGTAAAAAACAGAGCTGGTTTACAAGAAGTTGATGTATGACACAGATGGAAATGTTGAACCAAACATTTATCGCCGTTTTTGACGTGCTTTGCGATGGGCCTATCGCACGTCTTGTTATCGCGATGACGATAATTTTTCGATATATTGTGCAGCCCTACTATTTAGTGTTACTTTAACTGTGTGTAGTCGGGCACTTTTTAAGAAGTGGCAAAACTAAATCCAAGGTTTTGTTCTATGAGGGAAATGGACATCAAACCTGTAAATGTTTTCTTGTTCTTAGAGAGAACTGAATGAATCCAAATTTACATGTTTATGTAAAATGCACAAATGATCACTAACAAATGTACCTCTGTACTGACTAATTTTTCACATTTTAATGAATAAAATGATTTTCAAGTTTATTCCCCTCCTCTTTTTAATTCTCATTATTATGAGATACTATCTCATTATTATGACTTAGTATCTCATAATTATGACTTAGTATCTCATAATTATGACTTAGCTAAGTCATAATAATGAGATACTATCTCATTAAATGTGTCTTTGTATGAAATCTTAAGTTTCTTTGTGTTTAAAATGGTTTTGTAATAAAAAAAGAAATTGAAAGTTTATGGTTTCAAATACTTCTGTGGTCAATAAAATAAGTCATCGGTTGTTGTTTAGTCTTCTTTAATTCACTTAATTTAAATCTTATCTTTTGAAACTAAACAGAAGCCATTTAAAATGATTATTCATCTAGCAAACAAAATATCACAAACAAGAAAGTGCAGAAATATTTAATTTTACTGCAGATTTACATTGAATTTCCTCCACAGTAAGTCTTTACATTTAAACAGCAATGAAAACATTACAATAGTGTATGTATGACTCCATGTCACGGGGAACTCGCTGAATAAACATGTCATCTGTGGTGTAAACAACAAAGTCACACCACTCACATGGAGAAATCAACATTTGACCCCCGACCTGCCAGTAATGAGGATGAGATCGCCACAGAGAGTAAACCTTTTCTGAGCATAATAGTCCACAAAGCTACACACATTTAGGCATTTTATTTCCAACAGGCCACACTCAGGCTGCCCTCAGGATCATACATCATCCCATCTGCTGTTGAACCCATCCATGGTGCCTCAGGGTGGATCAGGACCCCACAAGGGTAGTGGCTTACCTCTCTTACCTTGCAGTACTCCTCGATGGCTGTAGGCTCCAAAGCAAGACCCCAACATATGTCATCATTCTGACTACTTGTTCCCACAGGCTGTTTCACAAGGTTCTCAGCAGAACCTTCTTCCCTGGTGTGACACACTTATCTAAATTTTGTAGAAGTGATGTGCCATCTCTTTAGTTGGTGCCGCTCCACAGAAACTCTGCGATTGTGTTCTGTTCTCAGCTTTGTATGATTTCCCCAATGATGTTGTGAGGGATGTGAAATGATGATGTTCAGTAAACACAAATGCACATGCAGAGGGTCCCAGTCTGGGGCCGTCCTCACTGGTAGTTGGTAAGATGGCCCGCTTCCCTCCTGCACCAAACCAAACGTGGACCCAACCAGAGGTACATCACCAGAGACAGCCATGGTTGTCATCACCGGAGCCTCATCTGCACCAAGTCCGTGGTACGCCTCCTGCACCTTCAGAATGAAGCTGTCTGTCATCGGGGAAGCTAACTCCTTTTTACAAACTGCTTCTGGGGAAGAAAAACAAAAGTCAAATGGGGTGTGTGTGTGCATGCAGTCCAGAAAGAAAAACATACCTTGTTCATTCTACCGGTCTCCTCTCTCTTGGTCTGGCTGATATGATGACCATGTCATTAACTGGACCTGGTTTAATACCTTGTTTCCAAATAAAAACAAGTTTAAAGGTTATAACAGAAATATGTATGCACATAATAATAGTATCATTAAAAGATTGTAACCTTGGTTCCCGTTTTGTGCCACTGTTGTTCAGTTTCTGTGCAGCTCAACACTGGGGGGGGGGGGGGGGGGGGGGGCGATGTAAGTTTCAGCTGGGAGAAATGTGCCGTCTGGTAGAGCTGAGCTGCCACATGACATCACAAGGCTGCACCTGCCACACGTACACTGGCACCCCCACCGGCTTTGAATCCCTTAGCACAATCTGTTACAACACAGAATATTTGTTAGAGTACAACTGCATTTAAAGAGGGACAAACATTGATGATTAACTTCACTTTACTCATTTTAAAATAGAAGAGTAGAACAAGTAATGGAAAAAATTTAAATTACTGTAAACAATGTTGTGCTTCTGTACGGAAGTGTATTACCATCAGTGCGGGGAAAAAAACTCAGGACCAGTATCTTGTAATCACGAGAAATTTTCCTGTTAAAACGTGATATAATTATCGTTTTAACAAAAAAGTATCTCGTTATTACGATACTTTCTTGTTAAAATTATAAACTTTCTCGTTAGAACGTGATTTATATCACATTTTAACGAGATTTTTTTTTAAAATAACGTGTTCTATAACTTGTAATAATGACATGAATAATAACGGTAAAACGGCGACATCTCGCGGGATGTTTGAGTCTCGTCAGGAAGAAACGGAGGGAGAAAAGATGGAGACTCCACTGGAACCACTTTGTGCCTTTTTAAGTCAGCGTAACTTGTCTGAGGAATGTATTTCTGCAATGAGGAGAGACAAAGTAGGTGACACATTTTAGACGCTTACCTACCTGAAATTAGAATCAATTTAACACAGTTCTATGTTACTGAATGTATCTGCAGTGTGGTGCCGTCTACTGGTAATATTAACACCCAGTTTTAAATGACATTTACTTGAATTTTACTTGTATTTTACTCATCTAAGCCTAACGTGTTCATAACCTTTGCTTGTTATAATGATTATTCATAGGTTTATTCACTTTTTATTGTGTGGCACAACAGAGCAGTAACTTCAGAACATTCTATTAGCCTTCATGAGCAGGTTAATGACAGCTGCCTTTATCAGCACCATTAATTAATCCAGTCAACTACTGGCATGCTTTAATAGGTAAATATTTGATTTTATACTAATCTGTGCTCAGTGTGTTGAAAACATATGTTAATTCATTAAAAAAACAACTGTAAAAGGTAAAAATAACTGCTTTATTTACAGATTTGCATCTCTGAGGCTGAATGCATGGATGACAGCTGTCCAGCTCATCTCCAGTGATCTGATTCTAACCTCAAGACTTTGGGAGGAATAAGAAAACCACGACGGTATTCATGGATGCAGACAGGGAACGATTGCATTCCCTTATTAGGGCATACTTTTCATTAGGGTTAAAACATCAAGAAATTTTGCTGTCACTCAGCGCTGTTGATGGAATAGTGATCAGCCTCCGGACACTTCAAAGGATTATGTCAACACTGAGGCTTCACAGAAGAAAAAACAAAAGTGACATTCTTGATGTTGCATTATTTCTTGTAGAACAGCTACAAACATTTGGAAAACTACATGGATACAAACTGCAACACCTTAGATGCATACAGGAGGGCTTTGTTGTCACTCAGAATACAATAAGACATTTGTTGAAAATTCTGGATCCCAGAGGGGTGGAGTTGAGGCAGCGCAATCGCCTCAGGCGTCGACTGTACCACAATCCTGGACCAAACTTTGTTTGGCATGTGGATTCTTATGATAAACTGAAGCCATATGGAATTTGTATCAGTGGGGCAGTGGATGGTTTTTCCAGGATGGTTATTTGGCTTCATGCATACTCCACAAACCGTAATCCCAAAGTTATTGCTGGATATTTTATTTCAGAAGTTGAGAAAAGAAGGGGCACTGCAACCAGAATACGTACAGACATGGGGACAGAGAATGGCACAATGGAGGACATACAAAGATTTTTACGTCTTGATCATGATGACAGCTATTCCATAAACTGCTTCAGTGTAGGATCCAGCAACCACAACCAGCGTATAGAGAGCTGGTGGGCTTTCTTAAGGAAACATCATGCACAGTACTGGATGAACCGCTTTCAAAAACTGAAGGATTCAGATGACTTCACTGGTGACTTCTTGGATAAGCAGCTGGTTCTTTCTACTTATCTGAACATCATTGAGGTGTGTTTGAGTTTAATAGTGATAAATACTGTATAAGGAAGGATGTGCACTTAAGTGCAGAATACGGTATGTACTTAAAGACGTTTCTTTGCTTGTTTTTCAGGGAGAACTCCAAAACGTTGTTCACTTATGGAACACCCACATCATCCGTCGGTGTAGAAATGTCACTGCTCCAAGTGGCCGACCCTACATGATGTACAAACTTCCACAGATTTTTGGACAAAATGATCTGAGGCAGGTTTCTGATCAAGCAGTGGAAACTTGTAAAGTACAATGTCTTCAGAGAGGACCATACCCATGTGATGAGACAGTGTTTGAACTATCCTGCATTCTGATGGCAGAAAACGTTCTACATGCACCCTCCACACCTGATGAAGCAGTTGAATTGTACTTATTTTTAAGAGCTTGCATACGTACAAACTTATGAAGCTTGTGATATTAGCTTTTTTTTTTAAAGGAAATTTTGCCCTGCAAAGGACTGGTCATGTGCCAATGGTGGCTCCACCCCTTGCCTGCAGACAGTTGGTGATAGACACCTCTCCACAAACTGTAAAGGATAAGCAGTCAAGACAATTGATGGAAAATAAAATAAAATGTTTCCTGCTTTTCATCAACTTATATGTATTTTGCTTTAAATTAGACCCTCATCATGATGTAAGAATGTTGCTGCTCAGCTTGATGTTGGAGAATTCTTGTTGCGAATGACAGCAAAAATATGTCGGGACATAAATGGAGAATTAACAAAATACAATCCTACCTTTACTCACTGCTCGATATATATTCTAAATATAATTTTCATTATTTATAAAAGCAAGACTTTCCTGTTCTCTGTAACTGAACACGGAAATCAGAGTTTTAAACTGTGATGAATGTGATTTGGGAATGGTAAAGTGAGCTGAAAAATAAAGTGTCACTCCTTTGGTAAACACTTGAGTTTTATTTGAACAATCTCTGTGAAAAATGCATTTTCAAAGATACAGTAAACATTTTTTTCCTCTAAAATGTAACAGTAAAGGAATGTGGAGGAACATTAACATGACATAGTAACGTGCATCAAACAAATGCTGTGAAATATCCTTTTGGATGGAGGTTTTCCCTCTCAAGAAGAATCACTCAAAGGTGAAAACACAAATCTCAAGATTGAACATGAGGAAAAACTTAAATAAACATCAGAAACAATTTTAAAGTAAGTCTTTGATGTGAATCTGGACTTCATTATGCTCAATGCATTACCTCAGAAAGGAATATAAAATAAAAATGATGCTCTTTCCAAAAACATGACATAAAAATAACTGAGATTTAAAGCATGTTTTATATTGTTTAACTTAAAAAAATCT